AATTCAAGGTCTTCTTTGCATAGACACTTGCAGTTGTTGCATAGACACTATTTAATGGTTTCAAGGCTGGTGTCTTCTCAGAGGACTCATGTCACACACCACTTCCTATCGCCTTTGAAAACTATTAGCCATAGAACTGGACGGCAGCATAGTACAAGTGGGATTGGGCTTTGGCTGCTTGGTACTGCTCTAATATAGGAGTTTTGTTCACAATCAAAGGGGGAAAAGTGTCCCAGTTTCCTTATGCAGCATCTGTCATTCAGGTAAATTTCTTCAGCTCTTTGACTTGGAAGTATCCTGTGGTAGGTGCACTGTTGTTGCAGCTGTGACTTATGACAGCATGGAGGACACTTCCAGGAAGCTTGCAGACATCACTAAACTGGGGAGGAGCACTGGAGGAAGAGGACACTCAGTTCACTGGAGTGCAGGGATATGATTCAGAAGGACCTCAAAAAGCTGGAGAAATGGTCTCATAGGATGGTCAGGGAGTTCGGTAAAACCAACTGTACTTGGGGTGGGATAACACCCTGCGCCAGGGCAGGTGGTGTATTGACTGCCTAGGTGGCAGCTCTGCAGAAACGGAGCTGGAACTCCAGGCGGGCAATAATTTGAACAGAATCAGAAACATGCCCTTGCTGCAAAGACGGACAACCATGTCCTGAGCTGCAATAGCAAGAACATATCCAGCAGGTCCAGGAAGATGATTTTTGGGGACTTGTGAGACCACATCAGCAGCACTAGGTGCAGTGCTGGCCTTCCCACTACAAGAAGGCCTGGGGTGACCAGGATGGTCACTGCACTTGGCATACAAGGACAGGCTGAAAGAGCTAGGCTGGAGAGAGCTCAGGGGAGATGTTATTGCTTCCTGATGAGAGGACACAAAGAAAACAGAGGGGCCCTCAGAGAGGCACAGCAACAGGATGAAAGGCAATGGGGACAAGTTGGAACCAGGAAAACTGCTGTAAGATACTAGGAGAAGCTTTTTTTTACCACATGGTTGCTGAAGTGCTCTGGAACAAGAGCCCAGGCAGCTTGTGGGATCTTCATCTTTAGTGCGCAAGACTTGATTGCTCTTGGACCTGGACAACCTGAGAAGGAGGTTGGACTGCATGACCTGTAGTCCTACCATGACCTTCCAACCTCAATTAGTTTATGACTCTGTGGTCTACAGAAATAGTCATACAACACATAGGAAGAGAGACCAAGAGTGCAAAAAGAAAAACAAAGAAGTCAAAGAGGAGGAGAGAGAGAAAAAAGAGAATAGGGAAAAGACAAATAGAGGGGGGAAAAAAAAAAAAAAAGTAGGACAAGGTAAATGCTGATGCTAGAGTGAAATCTTAAGAAAAATACCCCTGTTGGATCATTTTAGAAATGATATAATACTATAAGTATTTTTGTAACATTATTAGGTATCTCTGTACTACATTTTGAAAATGCTTTAAATTAGAATGATTATATTTTAAATTATATGTTTAATAATGTATGGTATTTTAAATGATATTGATCCAAGTCTAGCAGTTAGAAAGATTTAGACTGGTTTAATTCAGCTGCTTTTACATATGTACTAAATACTGTTAGTGGTGGCATATTAATTTAATGCATGATCATGACCTATGTTTCCAGAAGATCCTTGTCTTTTCAAGGTAATGAATCAGGCAGTCAGTATTTCTTAGATGCCCTGCTATTTATTATTGTACTTCACCACCATAGTAACTTTTGACTGCACACAACAGCATTAGTTCCACTGGGATAGTTTCAAAGAACTTGTGATTTTAGCATATGTGTTCCCATAAACTGTAAGGAATGTCTTTGTAGATTGAGAACAGTGTTTTTCTGTTTCATAATGAGATTTCATGTATTGAAATCTGAATTGTCTCAATGGTCTACTGATGCTAAGAGAAATTTGGGTCCTTTGGTCCTGGTATTCAGGAACGCTTAACAAGTTTATCTCAGAAGTAAAACACTTCTAGTTGATACCATTTGTCATCATAAGGTTTAAACCTGAATTCACATAAGTCATTCATTTAAAAATTAAGTAATTTGTGGAAATGCTGTAATTTCACTGTGAAATAACCCTGCCCTTCAACTTTGGTATCAGCAAAAGTCAGATCTTCTTAGTGATTCATAGGAGATCTCCATCACTTATAGTTTGAGCAGCTGTTTCTCCTGTGCCCTGACCACTTGGGAAGGCAGGGCACCTACACATGATTTCTTGCTCATTCACCAAAGAAAAAAATAATGATCGTCACAGGACTCTTCAAGTCAAAGACAAATTTGAGAGGCAACGGTGTTTGTTAGTTTGTTATGATCTCTGCTACTACAGTTTCTCCAGTCTGACTTCCTTCAATTTTGCATCTCCTCACTTTATCTTTTCTTGAATACTTTGTGTGGTCTCTGCTGACATTTTTTCAGCTCCTCTGTCGTTTGTAAAGCCCACTCTAGACTGTCTTTCTGATCCTCAAAACCAGAATCTGATCATTCCTCACCACCACTCCTGCTTCTTGAGTGCTTATCCTGTGCTTTCTGAGCAGAACATCCCTGGGGATGAGATGGGGGGAAAATCTCCCCATTTCTTTTGGTGTCCAGAGGGCTCTTCCAGGTGCTTTTAGGTGCTTCTCAGTGGTGGGCCAGAAGGTCAAGGCTGGGGAACGTTTAAGGGCTCATACACTGATACAACCTTCATTTGGACACAAGCTGTAAAGAGCCACAACATGCCCAGGACAGAAAAAAAAATAATCTTAGCAGAACTTATCTGCCAAGTGCTAACACATCTCTCCTGGGCATATCAAACTGCACTGTCGTGCGCAGGTTGTGCTTAGGTCTGGTGTTTTTGTTTTCTAAAGCTAACGTTTAATTTTCTGCAGCATTAAGACAATACCCCTGGCAGAAGGGCTTGCGTGTCAACCTTTTTCTTCTCAATGAGAAATATGAACATGTGTCTGGGATTTTTTTTTATAGGCACTGAAAATGCCTATAATGCATTTTTTCCAGAGTACCTATGACTGTGCTTTAGCTGGAACATAAAAAAAGCAAACAAACAAACAAAAAACAAAACCTGAGGCAAATATCTTGTAGAGGAACCTCTAGCCCAACCAGCAAAATTTTAATAAAGTAAAAACAAATTTAATCTTGTACAGAAAGTGCTGGGAACATTAACTACAGACACCATTGCCATGTTTGTATGTAATATCCTGAGGTTTCATATACTACTAGTAAACTGTTGACATTTTCTCCAGCTTTTTATGCAAGACTAGGATGGAGTCATGATTCTGCATTTCAAACAGTTTTGAAATAGTGTGTGTAGCTTGGAACAACTATGTTCTTTATTGATTTTCAATTCGTTTCCCATTTTTTAATTCTATTTGCTATGTTCTTCCAATAATTAATATTTTACAACTGGAAGGCAATACTAATATGACTCAGTCTGATGGGCTAACATATTCATGCCTGGTACTTACTTACTGAAATTATATCAGGTATTCAAAAAAATCCTGAACAAATCTCATTTCCTTCTAATTTTTAGCAGAAATAGGTCAAAAAATGAATTTATTCAGCATTAATAACAGACTGGGGTTAGCTGATTCACAAGTATCTATCTATGGCTTAGAAGCCTCAGAAATATTTATTACTTTTGTGCTTAGCCTCGCATTATTTCTATAAGCAGTCTGATATCCATAATATAGTATCAGGTCACTGAATTTTGGTTATTGTATTTTTAACAGAAGAGATACCTGAATGTCTATGGAAAGGAGAAACTGTTGCAAAATATGCAAGCTACATGTAATACAGTGGCACCTAGAAGCCAGTATTCCCAGGCCATGAGCTAACTCCTATAAACGGCTGTTGGATAAAGGCTGCTACTGCTCCACAGAGCCTTGAGTACAAATTATTCTTTTTTCTATTTCACCCTTAAAGGACTATGAAGAAGTAGGAATCTACAAATAGAAGAGCAGTGTTTGGTTTAATCCCATACCTTTTGAAATTAATGGTGACAATGCTAGTGAGGAAAAAAAGTTAAAAAAAAAAAAGGCAGGATTGAGATGTTAGGAGGAAAACAGCAGCTCTGAAACAAGTCAAATGTTGCAGGGATGCAACAATCAGTGCTTAGGACATAGACTTCTTGTGTTCCTACACTAGATGCCTTCCCTGTCTTTACTGATCCCTTCTCATTTTTATAGTTCTGCCTCAAACAGAGGCAGCAATGTTCACCTTCAAATCCTAGGTGGACCATTTGTCTTATTTATTTATTTATTTACTTTCCTCGTTCTTAACGGGCATCACACTCTACCTCAAGAGCATGAGCCACTTCACAGGCAGTGACTTGCAGCGCGATCTGCCTGTAATAACGAACCCAAACACTCGCCCTTGACATTCTCGGTGCCGCAAGGCTAACTAAACACAACAAACAGAAGGAGGACGAAAAAAGCAAAGCACCCGCGCTCCTTCTCAGGAGGGAACGTGGGAGCTGAATTGCAACGCAAGGGGAGGAACCTCCAAGCAGGTACGTGCAGGAATAATGAGTAATAAATAAAAAATAAATAAATAAAAAGCATTCCTTTTTCTACTTCTTCTTCTGTTTTGGCCTTGTAGGAATGACTTGCTGTTTAAGGGTTCGTTTC